GTTTTCCTAAAGATATACAATTTCACATGAGAACAAATAGAAAAGCGAGCCACAATATCCACGTACAATCTGTGGCTAAATTGAAAATTGTGTCTCAAGGGCCAAAGCTATACTCCCCACCTACTGTAACGGCTTGGGCAAACCGAAGAAGCTAACTCGTTGTGGACTTTACCCAAGCTTCTTTCACCCAAAATGCATTTACTTGGTAAAAGAAACGTGAAGCTCATAACATAACCCAAATTGTCTTTCTCTACCTAGTACCTATGTGGAATGTCAAAAGCACAAATCATCCCATGAAATCACAACGAGTTGGATTAAAATTTAGGAATCTACAGTGTTAAGCTTGAACTGAAATTAGAAAGAGCCTCCAGTTTAATTTTTACCTTTTACTAGACACTCATCATGTGCCGCTGGTTCCAATCTAGTCCAATCTGGGGTTTTTGGGTTATGAGCATATCACTATATGGACCAAGAATGAAGCCATTTGTGATTAATGAAAGGAAAACTTCCTATTTCACTATCGTAGAGTCGTTGCTATAGGACTTTAATTTACTATGTTCAGGAGTATCTAATAATTCATGTCCACATGCAAGAAGTCTTAAAATGCACATAAGGATGATGTATGCTTAGCAAAATGAATCAGTGGAATTTAATATAAGACATCAAATGCTATGGAGCTGAAGGGATACATTTATTGATTCGCTATTTATATGTTACAAGAAATACATATAGTTAATAAATTTAGAAAGATCAACAGTATATTAGCAGTATCAATAGTATTGAACATTGAATCAAGATGCCTTTTACATCATGCCTTAAAGGGGAGAATTGTTGGCACAGAATGACCACATGTAAATGTTTGATATATTAAGCAGCATCAAGTTCAAGCCATCAACACTTCTATCAAGAAGCTTGTTGATGCTTGATTTTGGATACCAACGACTCGCACGTGCAAAGTTCTAAGAGAGTATTAGAAATTACACGTGATGGATTCATGAGATTTGAATATGATGTTGAGATTATATATGTTACAGAAACATAAATAATAGACTGACAAGAGAGGTTTTTATAGTGGTACGGATGCTTAGAGCAACTCCTACATCTACTGTTATTTTATTATTCTCTAACTATTTCTATGATATTGCCCGTAAGACATACAAAGATGAAGAAATACTTTGCTACAGAGAGAAATAATGAAACTCAAATCTATGTCTAACTCTTATATGCCCAACCCCCCTTTTCATGAAGAGAGTTGCTCATTTATACACCTTTTAGGCCAATATAATGACTATTTTTGCAAGTTGTCATAACGCGTGGGAACCCACTCCTTAATCATTTTCTTTTTTATTTTGATAAAGTTGGGACAGGTGTATGGTCCTCATCCACGCATAGACAAAGCTTGAATCTGCTGGGTTGGTGATAGTTGTATTCCTTCTGTCTTGGGTGATGTGGCAGCTCCTAGACAACACAAAGCCTTCCTGAACTCTGATTGGTTGGTGCTGACATCAATGCGATTTTTTAGCCATAACAAAGCTATATAAAAATGCTTCATAGATACCTTCAATTGTATCCAAAACTTCTTGCCGGTATCCAAGTTATGAAAATTAATCTCAAGAACATAAGAAAAGGAGAAATTCCATTGATCTCTCTCAACAACTTTTTCATCTTTATTCATATTTGTTGAAGTGAAGATTGGAACGAAGTTGTTTTGGGGATTAATGAAACATTGCGTTTTGAGTTAATTTGTGTTGGATCCTGATCGTTGATCCAACTCTAATCGAACGGTTGAAAATCGTCAATGGGTCAACGGTATATAAGTGTATGAACAGTTAGAATTCTCTCTGTCCTAATATTTGCCTCTATTGAAAGAATCTACTTGCTCTTTGTTAGGGTTTAGTCGATTTGGGAAAATCTTTGTAACTTGGGTTGATTAGGTAATTGGTTAGTCAATCAGGAGAGTTTTTGCTCTTGTTCTTAGGGATTCTTGGTGAGTTTCTCTAGGGTTAGTTACTAAGAGATTTTTCTTGTAAATTGATTAGAGTTTGATCTTGATTGTAGTTGTTCTTGTTTGAATCTTGATTTAATAAGTAGTACAGCGAGCTCTCCCATTTCCAAAGCTCAACGTGGAGCTTATCGAATTTGGATAAGTGAACCATTGTAAAAATTCGTGTTGTGTTTGTTCTTGATTTCTTGCGATTGTGTGTTTAGTTGTTTGTCTGTTTAATTCGGTTAGTTACAACAATTTTAACTCTAATTTGATCACAATAATGTTATGTAATCATGTACAATATTTCAAAAACTTAACTTAAGTGGTCCATAACACTGCCAAACTAAAGCATTCATTAAATTATTCTCATATCCATTGGAATCTTTTCAATACTTACAATAATGTCATGTTACTTTTTTTTTTTTTTTTTTCAAAGAATTAAAAAAATACAACGAAGGAGAACTCCCTTTCAAGGGAAAAAACCTTGGACAGACCACAAAAGATAACAAGAGGATATACAATCCATTTAACTCTAAGTCCGATGAAAAACAAGGCCTTAGCAAAACACAAACTCAAACACAAGCTACTGGTCCAACAATTATCATGCCTGCCAAAACGTCGCCCATTCCACACAAAGAAGCACACAGCATGACTATCATAGCCTACACCTATTTCCCTCCACCAAAACAGAACATAATTTAGGGCCACCATGGTAGTCACCAAAATAGTCTGATCATAAATGCCATGTTACGTTAAATTCCACTTACAATACTTATCTTGTTGAACTCATCTCATTCATGATTAGGGTTGACAATTTCTAGCGACGATGACGGCGAAGGGGTTGGGGACCTTCATTGTAATTACTAGTAAAGAACATTGATGGAATGGAGTAAATTGTTATTTCAAAAGCTTGAAGGGGAAATATTTATTCAATGAAACCTTAGGGGAAATATTACTGTAAACTTTAATTTTAATTATTAGTATGTATGTATATATAAAAAAATTATCTTTGCATTTTCAGCAACTGAGAGGCACATAATTAGTTCTAAATATCTCTGAAAATGATGCTCTCAATATTGTTGTGATAATATCAAATTTACATCTAAAATGTAAAATACATCTTGTTTGTAGTCGACAACTATCTTACAGTATTGTAGTCTTGAAGATTTCAATATTACAAGTCTACAATTCAAAGCTCTCAATCAAGAAGATGAATAGACTTACCATCTATGGACAAAACAAGTTGCACAATGTCTTCGACATTATCAGAGAGAATTGGAGGGTTAAGATGTTATTGCATTTCTTTCATAAAAACCTAGTTCAGATTGTTAGTGTTAATCTTACTAATAAAAAGGGTTTTTATAAACTAATTCACCACCCATACAAATCAATAGACACTTGATTTAACCACTTGGCTTGTAGGCAGATGGCAAGACCTTAGATCACCCAGATGTTTTGTGTTTGAGTCTCACCAAATGGTTACCTACCACATTTGTAGTTTATCTGGCTCATTGGACTTATAGGGTTTCAATTGATTCCGATAATTAATTGAGATATGCGCAAGCTGACTCGGATACTCCGGTCAAAAAAAAAAAAAAAGGGCCCTTGACATTAAAATGCTACATTTAAAAAAGAAACACAATTATTTCTAGTAAGTTGGAAAGTGGTGTGGGGATTAAAGAGAATGTTATGATATATGTGGCTCTGCACCATGCAAATTGATGATCATGACCATGCTTTTGACATGTGGCCTTTTAATGTTATTGATTTGTATGGGCAACGAAATAATATACAAAGCCACTATGTTTTCTTATAAGATTAATATTTTGTACAATGTTATATTTATAACTGAATTATACAAATGAATCATACAATAAGACAAAAAACAAATGACATAATAGTTATTTTATATAAATTTTTTATAATTTTTGTCTGATGGTATAACTCAGTTGTAAATAAAACATTATTATTAACACTTATCCTATAAAAGTTGTTTTGCCTTTAAAAAATATGCTATATCATCTTCTCGATATAGTGTTTTAAATTGTAGACTTCCAATTTGTTGTTTTATATAACATTAATTCAAGATAAATAATAATGCAAACTAGCTTTATTTTATGATGTGGAAGATTCAATTTTATTGACAACCATGGAGTATGCTTATAAAGATGGCCGTATAAAACAATAATGTAAGTAAAACTAGCTTTATTTTCTAATATTGCACTGTTATGTTATCAGTTTTTTTTTTTTTTTTTTTTTTTTCCTTTAATCACTTCTTTTTCTTGATAATGTTTTAATTATATCCTGTTATAAATTTAACCTAAAAAGGGTTTTCTTTTTTCTCGTAAACAAACAATTAGTTTTTTTAATGATATTTGAAAAAACTTGGTTTTACTTAGACTTAAATCAAAATGTATTCGTTCATTTTATATACATGTGACAACATTTAGCAACAACTAACCAAATTCATGTGATTGTTGTAAATTTTACTATATATTGATTGATACAAAAAAATTAAACACTCTTCATTTAGTGGAATTTCCTTCTCAAACTGGGCTTTCATTGAGTCAAGTCAAGTCTACCTAAATTAATTTAATTAAAACTGAGATGTTTTAATAAATTAATAATAATAAGAACAGAAAAACCAATAATAATCTCTTGCAGAATAAAGAACCCAAATCAGGAATTATATAGAGTTTTGTAACGTCAAACTTGCCATATCTCCAAAAGTTAGGTAAGTGGCAGATAAGATATTACACACACACAATAATAATAATAATAATAATAATAATAAATATTGTGAATTTTTATCTCTACACATCTTGCATGGTCTTCAAATTCATCATCTAGAATTATATGAGGATAACTTCAAAACATTATACTTCCTAAAACAGTTTGGCGTTCTAAAATGCTGCCAACACCAATAAGTTTAACTAGTTGCACGGACTGTCGTTGGCAGCACAAAAGCTAGAAGCAGTATTATTCTCTCAGTTTCATTGAGTGAAAAAATTTCTCACCTCCCATCTGCAATTATGTCACTGAGCTGACTGGCATTTACTGGAGAGAGCAACGGGGCACCTTTTGGGCAAATATCAGTATTATTCTTTTCACTGTAACTTCTTTTCGATGAGGTTGTAACAGTATCTCCCTTCATAAAGCTATTTGTTGTATCCTTAAAATCCCAATCAGTCAAATAACTTGGCTTCGAAGTAACAGGTCCCACTTCTCTGTCTCCAGCAAGCATGTTCACAACACGTGACATTGGTGGCCGTAACATTGGTGATGCTTGAGTGCACAAGAAAGCCACTCCTATTACTCTTAAAGCTTCGATTTCATTGAACTCTGTTAATGTGGGATCTATCAGCCCCAAACTTTGGTTACTTTCATGAAGACTCCAGGCCTAGAAATAGTATATAGACAATTAAAAAAGAATACGTTTTTCTTTAACTACAGTACTTAGAAGAAAGCAACCAAAACAAATCAAAATTCAAGTTCATTTTCTTCACCCATTCGAGAAGATAAATCTTTTCCCTATCCAAGTTAGTACTAGAGTTTGCTCTTCCAATGATAATCTCCAAAGCAACAACACCAAAACTGAATACATCAACCTTCTCTGTCAGGTGCCCAAGCATTGCATACTCCGATGCTAGATAGCCATTGCAAGACAATTAAGTGTTTGTAAAGGTTAAAATCAAAAGTCTGTCTGGACATGTAGATTGTTGTCAAACCGAGTTTGAAAGTAAGGCACGTACTATGCGCCCATGCCTTCACAATGTGAATGCATTTTGAATTTAGAAAATCTTACAAAAATACAAAGCAATAGCATCATATATCTACTTCTATCAAATTATTCTAGCATCTATGACTGGGTGACTATCAATAAAGACACAAGAAGTACTCTCAACGGTTAATAAACTCTTCAAACAGTATATAATTATTATTTGGTTGTCGTTATACAGATCTGATGGGTATTGATGGTAACTACCATGATAGCGTGTATAAATTACATCATATTCACTCTGCAGCACATTCCAAACGAAGCAATTAGGAAGAATGGTAATCAAGAAATGATTGAAAGAGCTTACATGGTCCCTGCAACCCCTATGCTGATGTGAGTTTTCTTATCATCAAACAGCTTTGCCAATCCAAAATCTGATATCTTGGGGCAAAGTTCTGTATCAAGTAAAATATTACTTGCTTTGATGTCTCGATGCACAATTTTTGGCCTTGACTCCTCATGAAGATATGCTAGACCTCTTGCGGTTCCCAAGCATATATTAAACCGGGTAGGCCAATCGAGATGTAACTCCCTATTTCCTGCAGAAAAGTTGGCACAATCATTAAGAACTTCCAAAGTTATTGGAGCGGAAAATTAAGGATTCAGGAATAATGTATGTCTAGGAATGATTTGGAGCTTATTAAAGTATTGTCAATCAGCTCTATGAAAAACTGTTGCTTGTTCTTAGAAGTATAGCTAGCTAATTTTATAGTTCTCTACCTTGTTCAGAGTCATTATCATTATGATTCACAAAATGCATATTTCAAGCAAGATGAATGTTTCATTCTTTAAACTTAGTTTCAGTTAAAATATTTTAGTCATAAAAATTGATTTTGATACAGCAAGACTTATAGTTAATAATTGACCGAGATCATAGGAGAAAAATCACATGCATTAATGTTTCAGTTGCTGGCAAGAAAACCAAGGTAGAAAAATATAAAACTAAGGTTGATTATTAAACATCAGCATCCTCGTACCAAACAATACTTGATCAAGGCTTTTGTTTTCATGATATTCATAAACAAGGAGGTGTCTAGTTCCTTCGATGCAGCATCCATGCAATTTCACAAGATTGCAATGCTGCACTGCAGTTATGGTAGCGATCTCATTAGTAAACTGATTTTTCCCCTGGTTGGATCTTAGTGAGAGTTGCTTCACAGCTATCACCCTTCCATCAGAAAGCATACCCTGTAGCACCAGATTTAATAACATAAATTATATCTGCTCCATTGTGAAAATCCGAAAGTTAAATTCAACCTAGTTTTCCTGTTATATTTTCTAGCTATGACTGCATAATATATAATCCATCACAACCGAAGTTCCCAGTATCTATAGGTTGTAACTTGTAAATGTAAGACATAGTTACCTTGTACACAGGTCCAAACCCTCCCTCTCCTAGCTTATTTGAAGGGTCAAAGTCTTTTGTTGCAGATCTCAACTCAGCATAAGTGAAAGATTTTGGCTTAGGTCCCATTCCAAGTAGCACTATGTATTGAGGCAAGACATTAGATCACAGAACATTGAAGGACTTGTAGTACAAGAGATACAATACAGCAGCAGCTTTGCCTATGTTATGGAATAACACCCAACACCCCGCCTTTTCCTTTTTTCCTCTTTTGATAAAAAACCAGTATATTGAAAAAGAGAATAGAGATACAAAGGTAGACTAGGTGTCCACGTCAATAGAGTTAGATCTTTACAAAAATCTTGTGTAAACCCCAAATTGTTTTCTCTTACAAAAATCTTTACAAGAAACATGGTAGCAGAGATTTTATGACTACAATAATCTATGGTGCTCTTACCTTCCACATCATTGTTTTCTCTTTTCATCCTCGTATAGAAAACTAAAAATATCAGTATGAACCCCAAAATTGCAAGCGTGACTGCAATACCAACAATCAACCCAGTCTGGTTCTTCTTTCACTCAATATTAACAGTTTGTTCAATATCAACAGTTGGTGGAAAACCTGAGCAGTAAAATAAAAGCTTTAATGAGAACATCGATCCAAATTTCCTACAGCAAAGATTCAGACAAAATTCATGGAGTACAAGTATTCAACTAAGTAATACAATCATTCTGGATAAATAAAACTAAAACAGATGGCAATACATTAATTTTTCAGACATGGAGGTTGAAGGAGAGGTTTTTACTTGAAAGTTCATTGCCAATGCATGGTTTCTAACTGGGTGGGGGGTTTGGTACACAGATATCCCTTGGCCTCTCCTATATGATCATTGAGTTTGAAACCAGAGGTTAACATCAAATCCTCCAAACTTGGCACTCCAGAAACTAGTAGCATATAAGACATAAACTTAGCACTCTTGTTTGGAAGTCAAGGGTCTTAACCACTGAACCCAACCGCTGAAGGTAGAATTCTAACTGTTTATTTTTCTTATAAAGGTCAATAGGTATATTAAACCTTTTAGGTCAAAATGAATATACTAATTTAGGGTAAATGCCAATGGCACCTCTTGAAACTCGCAAAACTAACACTTAGGCCCCTCAAAAAGCAAAAAACTACCACATTGTCCCCTTATGTTAGATTTTCCGTAAAATGTGAGAGTTAGACTGATTTGACCAATAGAATCAGAATTTGCCCATAGTTATATTTCAGACTTGACTATTCTATCCCTAAATTTCATAAAAAAATAAAAAATAAAATAAAAGAACTCATTTTTAAATAAAAAGATAAAATAATTAATAAAAATTTTTAAAAAAATCCCAAAACAATACAAACCTAAACCTAAAATCCCAAATATTTAACTCAAAAAAAAAAAACCTAGCCTAAACCTAAAATCCCAAGTATTTAGCTCAAAAACAAACCCTTAATCTAAAATCTTATTAAAAAAAAAAAATATGTACCATGAGTAATCCCCACAAATATGTATACTTATAAAAAAAAAAAATAAAAAAAAAAAAAAATAACATTTATTATAATTTTTTCATAAATTTTAGTGAAAAAATTCTATCTTTTTTTAATTTTCTACAAATTATTTGCAATTAAAACATTTTCAAATTCCTTTTCCTTACTTTACTTTCATTTTTTTAATAAAATTAAAAAAAATTATTTTGTATTCTACTAGTTTTGAAATGTCTATTTTACCCTCCTCTCTATGAACTTTAACACCAAAAACAAACGGCAGGAGGTGCCTTGGTACTTTTTGCACTTTGTGGGGTCTAAAAAGTTTTGCCCTCAACATCAACGGTTTATTGAACGTATCTCTTAATTAATCTTTTTAGATGGGTTATTTTTGTAGTAGTGGATAACTGATCCACTATCTAAGTTTTTTTCACAGTAGTTAGACATATCTAAGTTTCCTATCAAAACCAAATTAACGCATTCACTGAGCAGGAGCTTTATTAAACCTTTATCTTATGAAATTTCTTTGAACCTCTTTTACTAATCATCAACCATATCAATGTTTACATCTACATAGATTTCTTAACAATAGAGGAGGTGAGAGAGAATAAATTGTATTAAGCCCACTAATGCATGCTAGCTTCACTTCTTACTATAGGATCTTGCTCTGACATTCAGAAGCATGTTCCTTACATGTGTACAACATCAAAGTGCAATACAAAATTATACAGAGCACTATCAGATTGATAAATAAAACAGCAGCATCTACACTAAGGAAAATAATCCAGAAAGAATAAGGTAATATGGAAGTACAGTAAATAATACAAAAGGAACTAAAAAGCAGCTTACAGCGAGGAGAATTATTATTGCAGTGGAAATTTCTCTGGAGGCAGTTCAATCCAGGAACAAGACTGGCAAGTACAGAGAACATTACTGGTCATCTTTATTGAAAATTCAAAAAGCAGCATGTTCTGTTGAGGAGTTTTTATACTACTTGTCTTCTCTTCTTTAAGCGAGAACCTTTTTTGCAAAGCAAAATCTGATCATTTTTATTATTATTATCATTACAAAGGAAATTATTACTCACCTGCTGTTTGAGCTGTCAAATGTGAAGTTGTTGCCAACTAAATTCCTATACAATTGATTGAAATGATCAATTATATGTAAAAGTTTGAAGCATTCTAGTAAGAGATGCAAGGATGTTTGACATTTTTAAAATATAGTGAACCATAATTTGAGGAATAGTTGACCACATTACAAAGACATCAGAAATGAGCTATGCCTTCATGGAATGCCAAATGGTTTTTCTGAGTGATCTTTTTTTACGAATGGAAATTAAAGCACAACAAGGCATTAGACAGGCATTATTCAGTCCCACGATATTATTTCTTTTGAGTGCCAAAAAGGAAGGGACACTGGGTTACCAGCAGTGATAAGTATTGGCCATGAAGATGGGTGCTCAATAGATTCCCATACAGTCATCTGCTTTTCTTTTTAATTGGCCTGATGGTCATAAATTTTTTCATCGATTCTTTTGTGCAATCATGTGAACCATTATAAATTAAAGAAACAAGGAAGAGAGTTCAAGCGAGCTTCACAATGCCTACACTAATTCCATAAAATGAAGACAGACAAAGGAATTATCATGGTTTGAGAGACATACAGCATTCCAACAGTAGTCATCCACGAGGGAAAAGTTCCTGATAGATAGTTGTAAGATAAATCTCTGCAGGAAATAGTATGATAAACAACAGTGAGTTGAAAACATATATATCTGACTAAAGAAACAAGTCAGTAAAGAATTCGATTGCTTTTATCAATTAGTTGTCAAATCAAATTGGCCAAAACCATGGTTGTATGGAATTAGAAGAAATGGATTGAATGCATTTATAGAAAACCTTGTATGAAAGAGTTCTGAGTGACACATATGATAATTGTCAGTGGCCTAATTCAAAAATAAATATCCATAGGAAAAGCGCCTTTTAATTCTGCCTTTTTTTTTTTTTTTTTTTTTAAATCTCAACTTCTAAGTAGAAACACAACATAATCGTCATGGTTCAATTGCAAGCATTTAAGAAGATGAAACTAGAGATATGTGTGTACAGTTGCTATATTCATACTCAAGAACATGCATATCAAAATGTGGTTAATATAAAAAATACAGATTAACTAAATTCGTGATTTTTTTTTTTCTTTTTTTGATTGGAAACATAGAAATGTATATTAATGAAAAAAACATAGAAAGTAGATCAGAAATCCACTCCCACAAAAGTAGCCCATCTAAAAAGGGGCTAAAGCTTTACAAGTAGTATCAAGAGCCTGTGTAAAAAGAAACCTAAAAAAGAGAGATACCATGGCATGGACAAGTCCTAAAAACCAGAATTATCTTATTACTGCTAACCACTTAAGATGGATAAAGAAAAAAGAGGTATCCTCAAAGTCTTTTGAGACAGAGGTCCAAAGAGATGCCAAGAACTTGATCTTATCCCATAGAATTCAGTTTCTTCTCCCCCACCGTCTTCAGAGATCCTTCTATTTCTTTCACCCAAATAACCCACAAAAGTGCAAGAATCACACAATTATTGTGAGTCTTGGCCTTTTTTCCTTTACCAAAGAAAGTAGAGTTCTGCATAAGTAAATCATAACAAGATCTCGGAGTAACCCAATGGAAATTGGTTTCACAACAAACTTTTGCCCATAATCGTGAAGCCATTGGGCAGTGGAGGAACAAATGGTCAGAGGATTCTGCATTATTCTTGCTCATAACACACCAACGAGGGGAGAGACACATTTGATGATACTTTAATTGGATGATGTCAGCTGTACTGAGTTTTCCTTGAACCAAAATCCATGCAAATAATTGAAATTTGGGAGGAACTTTGGCCTTCCATATTGAGTTGCAATGTTTAAATTCAAGTGTTAAGCTTTCTTCACATAACTTCTGAAAGTAGGATTTGCAAGTGTAGCCTGAGGAATCAAGCTTCCATTTCCTCTTATCTTCTCTTGACTCATAAATGGAAGCATTGTCAAGCAGCCCCATAAGCTCTGTGAATTCTTCAATCTCTCATTCCTTCAGATTTCTTTTTAAATTTAAGTTCCAGCTTCCATGTGGGGAAGAAGAGTCAAGATAGGCATAAACTTTGACTCTCTTATTATGGGTCAATCTATAAAGAAGAGGCCAGATTGATCCAAGCTAAAATCCCCAAAACATTTATCTTCCCAAAAACAAGTGTCTTTGCCATTTCCCACCTCAAAAGTGACAAAGGGTTGGGAAACAATTCTCTAGAAAACACTTAGAAACATGTACTACGTCAGAAAATCTAGAAGTATAACCTACAGCATCTTTTGTAGGATATGAAAGGAAGTCCCATGAGAATTGAAATGCTACTATTTCTATCATTTTCTAATTAATCAACTTATTCAGAGTTTGGCACCAAAAGTTCCTCAAGACTGGAGCCTCTACAAATTTCAAGGCAGATACGACAAAACACGAGTATAAAATTTATCTAATTGGACATGATATAATAGGAAGGCTTACATGGTTTGAAGTTTTACACCTTTTTGCAAAGGAAGAGGTCCTGACAGACTATTGTTTCGAAGAAACCTGACCATTGGAAAAGAGTAGAAGAGAAGCAATGAGAAAAGTAACCTAGGTACTCAAATCTTGAAATTGATGGAGAGAAATGTCAAAAGAATTACAAGTCAGTAAGAGCATCAATACTAAACAAAGCACTAGTGATTTGACCAGTTAAGTGGTTGAAACTCAAATCCCTGCAGAAAGAGAAAAAAGATGATTTAAAAAGAAGAGAAACACTCAAAAGAGTACAAATTGAGGTTTAGTTGCTGATATTAACTTACAGAGTCTTTAACATTAGATATTCTCCAATGTTAGATGGAATGTTACCGATGATCAAAGCATTTCTTAGAGATCTAAGGGAGATAAAAATGATTGATTACTGTCAAAATGAATCAGCTGAGAAGACAATTAGAAAATCCAAGTTAGATATGTGTATAACTGAATGCAGTATGTGTAACTTACAATTCAGTTAACTTCGTCATATTTCTTATAAAATCAAGAGAGGAGCTCCCGCTGTATATATCAGTGATCCGCCTACACAATTAATTCAAACATCAATGATACGAGCCATCTTTCCAGAGAGAGGAGGAGAAAGTTATACGTGTGAAGATTAATATAAATATTAATACATTTGGAAGTGCTCTCGAACCTATTATATATATATAAACTTTTTTATACCAACTGATATGGTATTACATGATTGTTACATCGTGTACTAAAACCGATTTAATTATTTTTAATTTTTATTTCTTCAATCACGTCATGCCACGAGTTAGTATTAGATAGTTTATACGGAGAGTTGGAATGTGTAGTGTTATTTAAGATAGACTCACAGGACGCTCAATGAGGACAAGTTATAAAAGCTAGATGGTATAGGACCTTGAAAAGTGTTTCCTCCAAATCTCCTACAGAAAAATTTGACAGACTAGTCAACAAAAAATCAGAATGCTAAAATCTAGGCATAGCTAAAGATAACTTTTGCAATAATTCATGTTACACATTTTTAATATCTAAAAGTTCTTAATATATTACAGCGCTATAAGCTTGGTCCAGTTCCCAATGAAATCAGGTATTTTGCCTGTTAGAGGACAATCAAATGCCCACCTGAAATTTAAAAATTACCAATTGTAAATTTAAAAATCACCAATTGTAAGGCTAGTTTAGACACAAAGGTAATCTCCAAGCAGAGAAGAAACAGAATGCCATAAGTAGATAGGGATCTTCCTTACGTTATTAGCATATTTTGAAGATTAGCAAATGTTGAGGGAATCTCACCACCCACTCCAGAACTATCCATGTAACTGTTAAATTCACAATAAAAAAATTCATAATTTCATAAGACCTGAGTATCTGGTGTGAAAATCAATGCTGTTTTTAAAAAATAAATAGATAAAAATATTCGAACAAAGAAGTTGGAACATAGAGTTGATCTAGTTTGGCTAAGTTACCCAATTCCGGAGGTAGTGTTCCAGAGAAATTGTTAGAACCTATAGCTCTGCATGACATATATCAGAAGAGTATAACACTTCAGTGATCACCGTTGTGTGTGAATACATCATGCTAGATGAGTGCTCATAATTCTGTCACGATCAATTCAGTTTTCAAGGGGCTTTACAGATGAATGTAATTTCAAGTTATGTACAATGCAAACAATGGCTTTAACTGTGACTCAGTTTTTCTTACATACTTTGTGGCACATTGAGTCATAGCAAACTTTTCTATCTCAAGACTTACATTTTTTTTTTTTTTTTTCTAGCATGAAGAGTGCTAATTGTAATCCATTTAATTAACAAAAACCAAATCCTTTAGTGTCAGACTGGATACATTTACCATGATATAGTTGTCCAGAGGAGATAGAGATTAGATTGAAGCAAAGAGATCAGTGAGAAATAGAATAAAAATTTTACAGAGTACTACTGAGAAAAAGAAAAAAGATATAAGAAGAGCAAGAAGAAACTAGAGAGAAGAAAACACTTACATCATATTCTTGCTTTAATCAGTCCACATTTATAATAGCCTAAATAGAACAGAAACTGGAAATCTACCTTTAACGAGTCACATTCTTTCAAATATAAAAATCTAATATAAGAATGCTAAATATAACTTAAAGCAAGTAATATCTGTAAATTCCTAACTTAAAATATATATAATAGCAACAATAGAACTTCTTTTCTTGAGTCTGCATCAGCCACTCTAAACAATGGCCTTAATATAGACAATAGCATGTCCATCTAGAATATGATTATTATTTATGCTTTCTTTTCATAAAAATAATTGTATAGACTTTAACTCAATCTAGCTGTCACTGGAAAAGAAGAAAAAGGAGAAAGTATTCCAATCTTACAGAAAATTTAACTCCTTAAGGTTTCCAAGCTCCTTTGGGAGAGACCCTGAAAATACATTGTGACCCATTGACCTGGACACAAGAAGACAATAATACACAAAGAGGCAAAGACCCACCAAACAAGAATTAGCAGCAAAATCCAAAGTCATTTATCCAAATGACATATAATCAAAACTATGCCAAAAAGAAAATCAAGGTCAAGTAAACACTTCCAATTATAAAGGTATCCTTAAATACTTACAAATATGTCAACCGAGTTAAATTTCCAATAAAAGCAGGCAAGGTGCCAGACATGTAATTTTGATCAATTACGCTACAAAGTTCAAAACGGAAAGATTATCAAATCAAAACCTCTCATCATGATGAATAAGTAAAATAAAATATTTGTCCACTAATTTCAAAATGATAAAGGTCAAAGTTGATATATATGAATCAAATTTGGGAAATGAAAAGGAATCCATACATATGTGTGAGATATTGCAAAGATGTTAGTTCTACTGGAATCACTCCAGTGCTGTCCTGTGCAAATACTCTCCTGAAAAATAAAATACCTCATTAAATGCTTTGTCCAGAAATGATGTTTTCCTTTTTTTTCTATGAAGCCATTAACTTTACAAACAAGATAAGAATATTTTATTGTTTTATTTCCTAATTTTATTTCCACAAATCTTCAAAGTTTTATGTTGTAAATTTTTTATAATTCTAGGGTACCAAAACCAATCATCTGTAGCTGTGTTTCTCCAGCCAGCACTTGCAAGTCATGAAGTTATTCAAGTAGCAATTTGGTTGGGTCAAAGTATTGGCTTACAGCATCGCTCAACCCCAAAAAAACAAATAAAAAAATCTCAGCTTCAAACTTCTCTAAGCCAGAGTCAGACAGGAGTACCATATTTGACTAATTGACACAAAATCCAATTCTATTAGCAACTTAAAGGCAAAATTTCATTCATCTCTCCTAAAATTTGACCTGATCAGAATTGCACTGTTTTGGCTTAGATAAAAGACACATAATCTAGGGAAGGTTACCACAATATCAAAGAATTTTCGGAACTTAAATGATTTGCATGTATTTTTAGCAAACTGAAACAACTCAAAAATGAAATTTTCCAAGATTTGGTGAGAGAAAGAGAGCTTACAAGTGGGTAATATGGCAGGTTGAATTATTGTTATAGCTACAGTTACAAACGATGGAAAAAGCGTGGTCTTCCCATTTAGTTCCAGTACATGGCTCTCCACTTATGTTCCATAATCCCGGTGGTGCAAGTACACCCCATTTTTGAAATATTGAATTCAATGCCTTCACTGTCCACAACACCAAACCAAACCAATAAATACTTTCAGAACCAGTTGATAGCAATGCACGCAAACTTAAATATTAACAACACAAATTCATTAAAGCTATAAATTTCAAATCTAACGTTCAATGTTAAAGATACTATGTATATTCTAAAACTGATTAAAAAAGAATTGAAGTTACAAAATATTCAGAAAATCCCCACCCGTCGAACCCCACCCATTTTGCCCACCTCCAGCAGCCGCACTCCCACCCGTTGCCACCACCTTCAGCCGTCGTAGACCCACCCATTCCCCCTATCTTCCAGTCGTAGCACACCGTTCCGGCAACCACACGCCGTCCCACCCGTCGCAACCTACCCATCCAATCCGTCACACCCCTCACACAGCTTCCTCCACCAGCCGAGCGGACCAAATGGCAGAGAATCTTATAGATTCTTTCTCTTATCCTTCAAATTTCTTAAGTAAAACCTTTAATCTTGGAGAAATTTTTAATAAATTTTAATCCCTGAGATTCGATCTAAGTACTATTTAGTCCAGTATAACTTTTTAGTCCCTATCAATAGTATTTTAGTCCACCGACTTGATAATACATACAAAAATGTTGATAACAACATTCTGTCATTTTATACAGTTTTAGTTCATTCACATTGACGCATTGAACAAACACACATGCTTTCAACACCAACCATTTTTCCAGTTTGGTTGAATCAATAGCGACAAGCATTGGGTTTGGTGTTGGGCTTGTTTTCTTGTTAGTTTTTGTTTTTCCTCAGATTGGTTGAAGAATAATTAAGTTTTTTTTTTTTATTATTATTATTAAATTTAATGACAAATTACAGTTAATTGGGAATTTTCTGAATGCTAGTAATCTGTTTCTAAAACACTTTACCTCTATTGACGATCTTTTTAATAATTTTGTTCCTATTAACTTAGCAAATTAATACCATTCCTGGCATATGCTTATGGTGTTAATAGGAGTACATATAAATTGTAACTTCACAGGAGACTTTGGTTTAATTAATAGAAATAACATTTTTCTCTCATCTTGTGTCTCTTCAGCTTTCTCTCATTTTCTCTCCCACCAAACATCATAAACTCTCACCTAAATTTTATGAAAATCTATATTGAAGATCTTAGGACCTCCAAATATAAAATATCTATATTGAAGATTTTAGGACCTTCAAACATATTGAATTAGAAGGGTATATTATTATCTCCAGAATGATCAAATTTATGGTTTGCTTTCGGTTGTCAGGTCACACAAGGTAATATATGTGACAATTTATTTAAAACTTTCAACAATAAAATGGACCTCATATATCATCTTCTTCCTAACTAACCAGTTACGGTAACTAAATATTTTCTCTTTTGTGAAAGGAAAATAAACAAATAATCAATAGAAAAATACCAAAAAAAACCTTTAAAAAAAGGAACAATTTCTTGATATGCGGCTAACTAAGCTTATTCAGCAATCAAAAAGCACTTTTAAGAATTACTTTCTGCTAAGTTTTTTTTTTTCGATAAAAGAGAAGAGCAAGAGAATGTACCTTCAATAGGATCAGTAGTGGCAGTTTGAGCAGTTGATTCTTGTAAGATGAGGAAAACAATGAAGCAAATGCAGAATAAATGAGCGAAAGATGAAGAAGAAGAAGAAGAAGAAGAAGAAGAAGAAGAAGAAGAAGGAAGCGGCTTCAGTTTGAAATTCATCTTTATTAGCAGAGAAGGAGGAGGAAGTTTGGCAATGATACTAGTTATTTATATTCACATGCAAGACGGGGTGAACTAGTTATTTTAAGACGTTTTGGGATACATTGTAATTTTCTGAGGGGTTTAATAAATATATCATGTTTGACCAAGGTCTAGCCATCATATAACTACATAAAGACAAAAATAACCCTCTCTTGCTAACAGGGATTATATGAAGTTTTTATGCATAGTGAGTGCGTTTATATGTTTATATGGGATCGTTTCATAGCGTTTTTGTTTGATTTTATGTATAAAAATAATGTATTTTGATTAAATTATTTTAACAACTAAAAAATAATAAAAATTTGTTTGATTTATGGATAAGTATGATGATGTTATAATACAATGTGAAACAAACATTTCTAGATTGAAATGCATTGATCCTTTTGAAGTTTGATATAATAACAAAAAAAATAAATTCTGAGGTTTTTAAAACAATAAAACTCCTCGTGCCAATGAAATTAGTTAAAATTTATACTATATGAGTTAATAAATATTTACTCATTCCAACCTTTTATATTAATACTTACAACTTAATATTAAGAGAATTTTATTATTGAATCAAGTCTTAGGAGCGTATCATTAACTTTCGATTATTATCAAATTTTCACAATAAATATATAAACATTTCATTTAAAAAGTATATATTCTCTTTTAATCTAGTACATTTTCTCCAACTGAAATAGGGGTATTTTCGTCTTTATATAAAACATTTTTGTCTTTATAAGTTTTATATAACCAAAAATTAGGATGAATTATTAAATTGAATACTCTTTTTGTCTCATTAAAAGTCGAGCCCAACTTGAGCATTAGCGCCAAAATCCATGAACAGAATAAGATTAGACTAATTACTAGTCTTAGTCAACAATTAATTTTCTATTTAACTAACTAATTACATGTTGGCAACATGCATGAAACCTTCCCTAAGTATAGAATGCCAAAGCTAAAGCTCTACTGTGGAATAATTATTAATGCCGCAGAGTTTTTATGAATTTTCAAAGTTAAACGTTCTTCTGATAGGTTTAACTGCTTTTGGACTTAATAACTATTGAGTCTTCAACCTTGAATTTTCCAAAATGACAGCGAGTCACGCACACCAACTCATACCTAGCAAACTCTTTCATTTTATTATATCCACCATCTTCCTTCAAAAAATTATATGTAGAGGTAAGGCTTAATATTTGAGCTAAAATATGGGCTAGGTGATGAAATATTAGGCTACTCATAGTTTCAGCTAGAGTTGCATTTGTTAGATATTAATTATGTCTTACAGTCTTAGGGTATTCATTTATGGCAGGGAAATGAAAATTTTAAACAACTGGAATCTCCATACAAGTAGAAAAACCTCTGAAATGATAGTGAAATTTATCTTAAAACTTACAGTATATATCAATAGAACTAATCTTAGAGTGCATATAAAGTGTGAAAACATCTTCATCCAACAGTTTTCTCATTTCACATTGTGCTCAACAATGATAAACAAAATTGCAAAATTCTTACCAAATATTGTTTGAACAAATGAATTCCATACATATGAGATTGAGGTCATCATATAATAATAGGTAATCCTTTTTTTTTAAGATGTTATTATTTGTTTTATATACGATTGAATTGTATTAGGGAAGTCTTTATATAAATCACATTAAAAAAAAAAAAATTAACTTTAGCACATCATTTTAATATTATTGCTCAAAAAAATTAAATTTTTTATTCTAAACCATTAATTTAGTCATCTTAAAAGGAGTTGTGTGTGATTTTTCCATCAAGCTCGGAAAAGTCAGAATCCCACGAGGATATAGTTCGATTCATAATTAGTTCGGTTCAACACTTATCCGACCCAATATAAGCTCATTGAGATATAGCTTGACTCAGCATAAGCTAGTCGCAACCAACTTTGACAATTGTTCGACAAATCATATATAATCTCAGATCTCGGATATTTAGATCAACAACAATGATGATGCGATCTTAGCGTACAATCACGAGAATATCGAAATTGCAATTCCAATTTGATTGCAATCCCAATAGTTTCTCTCTTTTCTTCTTTACAAACTTGTATATAAACCCCCTCCAACGATGAGAGAAGGGTTAGCAAATTGTTCTAGGCATTACATATTTCTTGTAAGCTCTCTAAAGCAATAAGAAAACAGTCGATGTAAGCTTAAGTTCTAACTTGCTGAATTATTTTAAAAATTGATTGTGTTCTTTACATTTATGCACTTTTTATATACAATTATTGGTTAGTTTTAATCACGTACACATTGGTTCTGATTTTACCAAGGTCAATCGGATCACTCGGGTTGGTGCGATTCTCGTATCAATAAAACGGCTTAATTAGTCATACTTTTTGAATTAATTGGAACATAGAAATGAAGATCCCATTAGGTCATATTTAGAAACTTTTAGAATATGTTTTCATATTAGTCTCATTCAACAATTATGATGAAGGCTAATACTGATATTTTTGGATAGTTTCAAATATTGATTATTATATCAAAATATTATGATATATTTATTTTTAATTTAATTTTGGGTTTTATAAAATTTCCCATGAGCTTTCCGTGAATAAAACCCCCCAAGATATCTGAAAAACCGATTTATCACCTTGTCGTCAATATGTTGTTATGCTTTTTATCATCTATCTCTTAGGTATTATATCATTGATTTGTTAAATTGAATATCAAAACCTTGACGGAACACTGACAACAAAGAATAAATTGTTACTTTAGATATTTGAAGAAGGAAATTGTTATTCAAGGACATCTTAGGAAAGAAACATTTAACTCTTTGATTTTGTAATACTATTTATGAACCTTTCATATGATTTAATTGAATTGTGTTGACAAAGAATTTAAAGTTTGATATATATATATATATATATAAAGGAAAATTATCCTTACAATTTTCCTGAGGATATTCTCATTTAAAAAAAAAAAAAAAAAAAAAAAATTCATATTCCAAAAGTTAACTTATATATGCAATAATTTTGTCTTTTAATTTAATGAAAAAAAAAAAATCTTATATGCAAGAAATTATTTACTAGTAATAATTTAGGTCCTAATTTTAATTCTATATTTAATAAATTTTGATTATCTTTATATTTAGTTTACTCTCATTTAAGGGTCACTTTTTCTAATAATTACATTGATTTTGGTGGTCTTTTTCACCCCACAAATTGTGGACTATCTTGCAGTTTCAAAAAGGAAGAATAATTGTCCACTTTGATTTTCTGCTTTGAAATATTATTATTGTATTGATAAAAAATATAAAAGAATAAAAAAACTCAACATCAATATATATTGTTTTCTATTCAATAATTAAATCAAATTGAGGACAAATACAATTGTAATGAGAGATTAGAGATGAAATTACCTCTAGTTGATGTGATATTTTGAACTTCAATGCCCATTACAAGTTACTATTTCACAAGCATCAGTCATTATGTAAAATTATTACAAAAAATTTGGGCCCTCAAGGACTGGGCCCAAATTGGGACCAGCTTTGAAGGCTCGGGCCCAAATCCTCAAGGACTCAGTCTTGGGCCCACGAGATTTCTCGAGCTCGGACTAGTCCTATGGGCCTCAATAATATCATTTAGCCCTTTAATTTGTAAAATTATTTTTAACCCTTATATTTATTGTCAATTTCATATAAAGTGGGGGCTATTGATACTTGCTAGGGGTTTAAATGAAATAGGGGTAGGGGTTTGGGCTTGGGCTTGGGCCCTGGACGAGGGACCGAACCTAGTATCCGTCCCTCCTCCTTGGGCCTGGTCCAAGTTTACGCCTGAGCCTTATAGGACTGGTCCTAGGTTTGGTTTTTTGGGCTCGAGCCAAAATTCTCCGCTCTAGTGAGGGCATTAAATTCAATATTTAAGCAATGTGGTGCAAACTGCAAAAGCAGTAGAAGGATTGTGGAACACAAGTGGAGAGCCATGCAGTGGAACTGCTATCAATGTTACTGAATTTGAGGACCCTATTAATAATCCTGCTAACTGCACTTTTAACCATGGTTCAACCTACTATATCTTCATACTGGTCTCAGCTGTTGCAGTTCACCCCCCAAATTCATATAACAAAAGTGTATATAGACCAATGCCATTGTGCATCAAATACGAACACCCCTAGAGCCAATGAGTTTATGGAGCCAGGACTGTTCCACTGCACTTGAATGCTGGCCTGGCAGGGCCGACATAATTAAGCATCAGAGCAAATGACTTTGCACAAACACATTCATCGGTATCAGGGTGAGGCATCGGCACAGTTTTTGGTGTTGGGAAGGGTAGCTGTCGCACAGAAAAATTGTTTCCTGGCGCTGTGTCTGCATGGGGTCATAATGCTTTTCCGGCAGTATAATAAGTTGCATTTTCCCAGTTGAAAATTTCTTAAATATAGAAATTTGGTTAATTAAAGAAGGAAAATAAAGGATAGAGTTAAAGGAGAGGTGTAGCAAGAAATGGAAGAAACTATAGAGGAATAGAAAGGGGAGAAAAATAGAAAAATTAGGTATTCATTCATTATTCAAATCATCATATATACCATACTACAATAGAAATTTATCCAGAAAGTCCATATAAAATTTTACAGAAGCGATACTACAATGAGAAACACATAATTTTTTCTCACTATACTCATCGTGTGATGGTTTTCCAATCAATTGTCTAATATTATTGGTCTGCAAGGAAAACTTCCCAACACTAAAAGTCTACTATAGTTTGAGTTTGAAAATGCTGCGAACAATAGAAAAGGGCATGCGGATAAATCATTCGCTCAGTTTCAATGAGTGAAGATATTTCTTATACCTTCTCTCTGCTATTATATCACTGAATTGGCTGACATTTAGTGGAGAGACCAGTGGGTCAACTCCTCGGCTAAGATCATTTGGATTGTCACTTTTATTCTTGCAGTAACTTGCTGCAGATGAAGATGTGCCAATATCGCTGTTCATAATAAAGCTACTCGTTTCATCATTAAAATTCCAATCAGTCAAATAACTTGGCTTCAATGTAACATCTCCAATTTCTAAGTCTCCAGTAAGCATGTTCACAACTCGGGACATTGGTGGCCTTGACATTGGTGATGCTTGAGTGCACAAGAGACCCACCGCTATTACTCGAAGAGCTTCATTTTCATCAAACTCTATCAGTGTTGGATCAACCAGCCCCAAACTTTGGTTGCTTTCATGAAGACTCCAAGCCTAGAAATAACATATAGACAATTGAAAAAGAAACTAAATAAAAAAAATCAAGTTCCAAGTTTATTTTGTTTACCCATTCAAGAAGATAAATCTTTTCCCCATCCAAGTTAGTATGAGAGCTTGCTCTTCCACTGATAATCTCTAAAGCAACAACACCAAAACTGAATACATCAGCCTTACTTGTTAGGTGCCCAAGCATTGCATACTCTGGTGCCAGATAACCACTACAAGATATTTAAGTATTTCTAAAGGTTATAATCCAAAACAAGCTATTATGGAAGACATGGTGATGGTGAAATGATTGAAGGAGCTTACATGGTCCCTGCAACACCCGTGTTGATGTGAGTTTTCTTATCATCAAACAGCTTCGCCAATCCAAAATCTGATATTTTGGGACAGAGTTCTGTATCAAGTAAAATATTGCTTGCTTTGACATCTCGATGTACAATCTTTGGTTTTGAATCCTCGTGAAGATATGCTAGACCTTTTGCGGTTCCCAAACATATTTTAAATCGGGTAGGCCAGTTGAGATGAAACCTCCTATTTCCTGAATGAAGGTTGAGTATTAATTATCAACATTAGTTTTGAAATTACCCAAGGATGGTTATTACAGATCATACCAAATAATACTTTATCAAGGCTGTTGTTTTCATGATATTCATAAACAAGTAGGTGCCTAGTTCCTTCAATACAGCATCCATACAATTTCACAAGATTGCGATGTTGCACTGCAGTTATGGAAGCGATCTCATTAATAAACTGATTTTTCCCCTGGTGGGATCCCAATGAAAGTTGCTTCACAGCTATTATCCTTCCATCAGAAAGCACACCCTGTGGCACCAGATTTAACAACACAAATCATATCGCTCCTCAGTGAAAATTTGAAAGGTAAAATCAACCTAGTCTGGCTATGACCATACATTATTACATAATCCGTCGCAACCCAAGTTCCAAGTAAACTATCTATAGGTTGCAACTAGTAAATGTAAGACATAAAAATACCTTGTACACAGGTCCAAATCCTCCTTCTCCTAGCTTATTTGAAGGGTTGAAGTCTTTTGTTGCAGATCTCAACTCAGCATAACTGAAAATTTTCGATTTAGGTCGTATTCCTAGTAGCACTGCATATGGAAGCAAGATAAAAGATTGCATAAGATGGAAGGATTTGAAGTACAAGGAGATGAATTACAACAATAGCCTTAGCTATGTTCAAAAGTGCTAGAACAGAGTTCAACACTTTTCTTATAATTATATTCTGGAATCTACCTTTCTCAAATGCCCAGAGAACCTTTAACTTTGAGACGAAGTGAAAAGTGGAATCCATTAATTTTCAAGAAGAAACTTGGTATCAGAGATTTTATGACTACTATTATTGTTAAGTTGTCATGGGTGCTCTTACCTTCCGTATCTTTATTGTCTCCTTTCATCCTCGTATAAAATACTAAAACCATCAGTATGAAGCCCAAAATTGAAAGAGGGACTGCAATACTAGCAATCAACACAATCTGGTTCTTTCGTTCAATACCAACAGTTGGTCGGAATTCTGAGTAGTAAAATTCAGTTAAATCAATATAAATCATATTAACACAGTTATAGTAATTCATCTTAAATAGATTAAGACTCAAAGAAATCACATAGTTTACCTGGAGTGACACTAAGAGCAGAAATTAATGGTCCATAGCTACCATCTTCAGGTATGCAGCAGGTCCCTTTACCAGCCCAAAATAAGTGAATTTCAAGATGGTTCTCAGTCACATTAGCATTAAAGCTCTTCCTAATTGCTCTTCTAACCCCACCTGCTTCCTTTGATATGTCAAAATCTTTGCACCGACGAGTTCCCTACAGGACAAATGATGAGAGATACCATTCCTATTTATGTGTAAAAATTATTAGATGCAATTGTAATAGTAGAATCTGTACATAATAAGGGTATGAATCACAGGATCTCCAAATAATATTTTCTTTTACCGAATTGTTTACCTGGATATAGATATCAAAAACACGCCTTCCAAGGCTCCCCCATTTTCTTGAGTATCGATCTTCATAAACTATTTCGGCGAAGAACAAGCTTACATTGTAAGGCCCATTCTCAAGACCAAGTCCATAATATCTAAGTGAGCCAATCGATTTTCTTGAAGTCTGATAAAGATCTGGGGGTGTAGTGTTACTGTTAATTACTTTGGTTCCAGTGTTTTGAACTAGTGTGTTGAATGCTTGTCCTCCCTCAGTAAACAAAAAACCCACATTACTAATTGCCCATTTTTCTGAATTAGGTACAACAAAAGAAGCTTCACCGATATCTCTATCGTCGGCTTCATACTTGGCGAACTTTTTGCCACCAGAGTTGATTGCTATATGTGAATCTGCAAACGCAAAGATAATGTTGAAGTATGAATCTTTTGATAGTGGCATGACCCAAGAATTTCAGTTTGAGATAAACTCAAATAGAAGTTATTTTCAGTTTTATTATTTTGTAACTTTTTGCAACTGTTGTTGTCAGTTATTCTTTTAAAACTTATAAAAGGAAAGGCTAGATGTATGTTCAGTTAATAAAATTGTTCTCCTTTTACACAAGTTCATCTTCTTCTTTATCTTTCTGAAATTAGAAGCTTGAGAATTGTATTTCCCGACTTCTAATTTCCAACAGATAAAATGCTAATGATAATATTGATCCGAATTTCCTACAGCAAAGATTTGGACAAAATTCATCGAATAGTTTTATTTTAATAACTTCCGATAACTAAATACATGCTAAAACAAACTATAATAAATCCTCCAATCGACAATCCAGAAGCTAGTTACGTACCCACCTCATTTAGTGGACAATTATGATCATTACATATTGTTCTACTTACCTTATTTAGTGGGGTTCGGATGCATTACTTATCCAACTCTTGTTCAAAGGAGTGATATTTTGCTTGAAGCAATATTTTGGATTAAACTGGAGCAGTGTTCTGGCAGCAAAAGAAAAGTTTGAAGTTTGGAAGCTGGTCTGAAGCAGTTCCCGTAGCTGATATGTAGGCATGCTGAAGTGATGTTTTTTGGTGAATTCAGCATGTATTTTGGTTGTTAACTTTGTATCTTATTAATGTGATGTAATCAGAGTTGCTAAGAATGTATGGTTAGGATGTTTTTTGGAGTAAAATATGTTTAATGGTTAGGTGCAATAGTGTCTGTATGTGTATAAAGTTCTGCTGTAACCTTCAGTTTAAGGTAATGAAAAATATAATCAACTCTATTCTCTCCCTTGTTCATCATCCTTCTCTCTCACGTAACCAACAACTCTTTCTACTCAAGCTCAAAGCAAGTCCCCTAACTTGAATTTTGGATATTATCCTTTCAATTGAGTCAGTCAAAAGTACCAGCAGATTTAGAACTAGTAGGTGATAATTCTGTTATCATAGCAATTCTCCAAGCCCCCTAAACAAAGGTCGGTAGGGTATACTAAGTAGGATTTGATATTCCATGCAAGTGGAATTGAACTTTGGACTGCTGTTTGAAGTCAGGATCTCTATTATTAAATTTTTTCTAACCTTGAGCTATACAATAAAAATTACGAAAAGAAATCACTGGCGAACACAGAGAAATTCTCCCAAACATTCATGATGAAAGCAACTTACAGCGTGGAGTATTTCTATTGCAGGGGAAGTATCTTTGGAGACAGTTCAATCCATAGAAATCACTGGCAAACACAGAGAACATTACTGGTTTTCTTTATTGAAAATTCAAAAAGAAGCATGTCCCTAAAGGGAATTGTAACACACCTAATGTTCGAGCTGTCAAATGTGAAGTTGTTGCCCACTAGATTCCTATACAATTCAATGTAATTAATGATCAATTATATATCAAAGTTTGAAGTATACTTGTTAGAGATAAAATGATATTTTATTATACGCTAAATGTAAATAAAAATTTGAGAAATAGTTTACTAGATTATAAAGTCATCAAAATTGAGCTTTTTCCGATGATACTANAATTCAAGTGTTGCTTAGAGATTACAGGTTATGAGTTACATTGGACACAAATGAATGAATAATGAAAATTTGTTAGGGGTGTATTTGTAAACTTATAAGGTGTTTTTGTTATTTTTTAAACTAATAGGGGGGTAATTATTTTTTACAGGGTACCCTGGAAAGGAATCAGAACCTGCATTTTAGGTTCCGGTTCCTTGAATTGAAGAACCTATACTGTGCGGTTCCAGTTTCGGTTCCTTTTTTTGAGAACTTGCACTGTGCGATTCCGGTTCCAGTTCCCCCGAAAAATGCAGGGTACCCAGAACCGCTCACCCCTAATCGTGGGCCACCAAATTAAGTTAGCCTAGAAATTTTGCATGGACTCCTTGAAAATAAAGTCCACCAATCACATCAAATGGGGAATAGCCACATCAAGAGGACCTCATGTGTATTCTTTGTTTGTTGTAGAATGGAATTGTAACACAGTTGATGTTCGAGCTGTCAAATGTGAAGTTGTTGCCCGCTAGATTCCTATACAATTCAATGTAATTAATGATCAATTATATATCAAAGTTTGAAGTATACTTGTTAGAGATAAAATGATATTTTATAATATGCTAAATGTAAATAAAAATTTGAGAAATAGTTTACTAGATTATAAAGTCATCAAAATTGAGCTTTTTTCGATGATATTAGTTCTTTTGAGTGCTAAAAAGGAAGAGATCACCGGATTACCAACAGCGATAAGTGTTGGCCATGAAGATTGGTGTTTGATTCTTTCATGCAATCGTGTAAATTATTATAAATTAAAGAACCAAGGAAAGAGGATTCATGGTTTGAGAGAAGTACAATGTTACATCATTATTCATCCACTCTGAAAACATCATGATAGATAATTGTAAGAAAAATCCCTGTAGGAAATAGTATGATAACCATAATTTAGTAGGAAACACACACACACACATATATATAATCAATAAAGAATTCAAATTGCTTTTATCAGTTAAATACGACTAATTTCATTTTATCATTGTATCACCGTTTGGCTTAAAAAGATAGCAGTGAAGAAAAAACACAACATCTTTCGCTATACTATATTCCAACCATTGTTCAAATTCACTAAACCAAGAAACAACAACTCATGGCCCTTCGGTTGACAAGGACCCCTTTCCAAATATATTTTTCGGATTTGATCTTGAATATTAGGATTATACTCTAGAATTCGGGGTCTTAAGCTTGGATCCGTAGGAAGATCTCGTAAATCAACATCCACTCTTTTACTTGAATCACTAATATTTTTCTCTTGTTCAAATGATGAGATCGTTGTTGATTTTCTTTTGAAATATCTCTTCATACTATTTCAAAACAACAATATATTATTACTTGATAGAGAAAAATTCAACAAAATAAGCTATGTACTCAGTAAACCAAACAATAACAATAATCTATGTATACAATAATAATTATTAATATAAGTGAAATCACAACTACTAAAAAGATTTATAATGCTAATAAGTTAAGGTATTCCAACAACAAATGGGTAAAACAATATGGTCCCAATAATTCATCTTCTCCATTAAAAAAAAAAAAAAATCAACAACACAAAATAGGCCAACATGGGTAAAACAATGTGATCCTAAGGCCAATTCCAAAATCCATTTGAATGAAACAATTTTATATAACAAAGATAAAAATGTGTAAAACAATGTGGTCTCAAGGTATACTCCAAAATAACTTTAAAAACTATCTTTTTACTTCCTCTAACTTCAATATATCATTACAAATAAATATAAAATTGATGCAATTTGTGGTCTCAATACTATGACAATTTCATAAATCCTAATCTATAAATTAACCTTGAACTTTCAAAATTAAAAAAACATAAATACAAAATTCAATTACCTAAAAAATTGAGAAAAAATGGACTTGTTGGTATCAAACCCAACTAAAGTACTAAACCCCACCTTTTTCTTCTTCCTAACCAACAACCTATCAAGCCAAAATTTTCCTTCTATCCACACAAGTAAAGTTTTCTCAACAACAACACCCCCCCATCACCCCCCCCCCCCCCCCCCCCCCCCAAAAAAAAAAAAAAAGTAGCTTGCTTTAATTTATTGGGTATAGTGAAGTTTTTTGGTATTTTGATTTTGTATAAGGGCAATTTGGTAAAAACATAGCAAAAATAATTCAAGAATCAAGGAGGTCAAACTTCACATAAGGGCTTTTTCTAATATACTTAAGCAAAAAAATTTAAAAGTCAACCAGGGTCAATTGACCCTCCTTGATCCCAAATATTCAAAGCAAGAAACAATTATGGACTAAAACAATCAAATATTCAAAACCATACAATAAATTACATAACCTTTTTAACAAAAACTATATAGCAAACATGATAAGCGATTGAATAGGAGTATAACAATACAATAGCCAATACATTACAACTATGAGAACAAATTTTATGTTTCTAAGGAGCAATTAAAGAGGCGTAGTAAAATGAATACATTACCTTCAATAGAACATAATTTACAACTATGAGAACAAATATTATGTTCCAACTAAAGGTATATATACCCACATCAAATCAGGACAAAAAAGTAAAAATAAATTAGCAAAAACAAAAGAAAACTATTACAAATAACAAATAAAAATTGACTATCTCTCTTTCTTCGGATAAATCATATAACAAATTGTTAATATATCGACATATATATAGGATTAACAATAAACTAGCAAAAGAAAAAGAAAACTTTTACAAATAAATTAAAAATTGACTACTTCTCTTTCTTCAGATAAATTATTTAACAAACTGTTAATATATCGACATATATATAAGACTCGAAGTAATGAATCCTTTAACTGATACAACATATCTTTTCATATTCATGAAATTCAATAATACACCTTATTAATCTATTAATATTCAACATTCATTCATGCATATTAATTATTATTATTAATTAATATTAATATTTCTGTACCCCTTCACATTCAATTAAACAAAAACAATAAATCAAACTAAATTCATCAAACAAAACGAATAATCATGCATATTAATTATTATTATTAATTAACATTAATATATTTGTACCCCTTCACATTTAATTAATTATTACTAATATTAATATATATTTACCCTTAGGTCTTCACATTCAATTAAACAAAAACAATGAATCAAAATAAATTCATCCAACAAAACGTATAATAATAAAACTAAATTTTAATTATAAAACGTATAATCATAAAATATTTAATGTGAATGTGAAGTGTATTTATCTAATTAAACACATCCAATAAACATTGAATGTATCTTGTTATATAGATATTTATTATTAATAATATCAAATAGCCTAAACCAATAACATGTAAATATTTGCAATAATTATAGAGCTTATGAGATCCTACGTGGTGATCAAATAGAAAGTGTTTTGGTAATAGATAGATTGACATATTAATTAGAGAATTGAGTTGAATACTGTTTAAATAAAGAATGGTAGCTAGCCTGTGGACTTTGCTCATGATGAGTCAATGTTCAAGCAAAGATTATAAATACATTTTTTTTTTTTTTTTGGTTAAAAAAAGTGAAAATTCTATGATAATATTTAATATACCCGGAATTTTTTTTTATTAATTTTAATTTGTAATGTGCTATAGATTTTTAGAATCCAAGCTTAAGTTCTGGCTAATTTTTTTTTTATTGTTTAAATAAACTCTGTATCAAATATGAATTTGGAGTTTGAATATTCACGTGTATAAATACTCATCCTCTTTTGAAAAATATCTTTTATTAAAAAGAATAAAAATTGGACAAAGTTCTTATGTGAAGAAATTGTTACAGGACAATATATATTGTAGTTTTCAATTTAGGTTATTTATTATTATTATTTTTTATTAATAGCTTCATAACATAAATAAACTTGGTCAAAATAAAAAATAAAAAAATTAATTTGGAGTTCGGAGTTTGGATCTTCACATGTAGAAACTCATCCTCTTTCGAAGATATCTTTTTTTTTTTTTTTTTAAAAAAAATTTAGAGAAAGTTCATATGTGAAGAAATTGTTACAGGATAAAATTTTGTAATTTCCAAATTTGGTTGAAATTTTGTTTTCCAATAGCTTCCTAACATAAGTAAACATGGTCTAAATTTATTAAAAAACTTCATTTATGTATTAATTGAAACTTATTAATCTGTAGTTGACACCTTTAATTATTTTTATTATTATTCCACCAAATTAATATAGCCTAGAAATTTTGCATGGTCCATCAATCACATCAACTAAGAAAGATATTTCGGCTACTATTCTGTGGAATAATTATTCTGCAGAGTTTGTATGAATTTTCAAATTTCAAGGTTCTTAACATAAGTAAACTTTGTTAAGAACCTTGAACTTTCTATATTATCTTCTTCTTTATTGAATTAATTACTGGACCATACGCTTCCACACGCAATTGTGACCAAAGGAAATTTTCGACACGTCGCATTCGGCAACTTTGCAAGCTTGCTTAGGTAGCTCTATGAAACCAATTGAAATCGAACACGTATGCACAGATCAGACAAGAGACATGTGGCAGTAATTAGATCACTATCCCGATTATAATTAAAAATGCAACTTGGCCATCTCCGGCTCCACGCCTGACTTCCGCTCATTTTCTCACCTTGGTTTCTACGAGATGACTCTTCCACCGTTGACGTGTTTTCACATGCTGGATTCAAATAAACTGTGGGGCCATCACTTTTAAGATCTTTTTGTGATGATGATGATGATTATCATCTTGAGATTAATGAATGAAATTCATCTTTTTAATGGAATCGAACACGTATGAAACTGTGAATAGATCAGGCAAGAGACACGTGGCAG